CCTTTCTGCTGGGTTGGAAGGATAGACTGTGGCATGTCAGCAAGTTGAAGTGAATATAAGAGAACCATCCACACCCAATTCATGAGATGTGTAAAATCATACAAACAATTAAATGACCGAAATAGCTTCTTTTTTCCCCTATGATCTAGGAAAGACAAGGGAGAATAGTTGATTCTGCTTTTATAATGCAATTATTTTAACAACACAGTATGTTTTGAAGAATTTGGTTGGGGGCACAGTTCTTTCTTTTCTTTAATTTTTATTTCTATAGCTTTTGGAGTACAAATGGGTTTTTGTTACATGGATCAATTATGTAGTGGTGAATTCTGAGATTTTAGTGCATCTATCACCCAAGTAGTGTATGTTGTACCTAAAAATTTCTAATACGAAAAAGTCTTTCACTGGTTTACATGGAAACAAGGAAAGACCTTCAGAATCTTCAATCTGGTAATAAAGAGATTAAGTAAAAAAAAGACCTATATTCTAAAGTGCATGTATACTCACGCATACATATAAAACATGCACATCTCATTCTAGTCATGTCAGAACAGGCCAGTGGTATGCAGCACTTGCTATACATCGCCCCCATGCTCTCATGCTAAAATAAGTTATTATTATTATTATTATTATTATTTGTTGCTGTTGTTGTTGTTTTAATTTATAGTGTGGCTTTTCTCCAAAAGGACCAAGGCAGTATCCACACAATTTTAAATATAGGATAGCCAATGCAAACATCAATGAGGAAATAAATAAATAAAATACAGAGCCAAGAGGAAGAGGGTACAGAAAAACATAAACAATGGAGAATGGAAATAATATTCAGTAGCACTGAGTCAGGTCCTAAAGTCCATTGATTCAGGCATAAGCCAGACTAAAGTCATGCTGAAGGTGAGACTCAGTAGCTCTTCTCGGCCACTGTCATGATGATTTGAGAGTTAGAAGCTGAGACATAGTCTTCAACCTCCCAGCTCTCTCTTCTCATGGCTAGTTCTTCCTTTACCCCTATATTGGAGGAGGCTCTGCTTATGAAACGCTGGTGGGAAGGAGAGAGGGACAAATAGGGCTTCAGTATTTGATTTATCACTATCTACCTCCACAGTTCCTGGTCCCCCTAAGACATTTTTGGATTTCATTTCTACTTTAGTTTTCCCAGGAGCAGAAACATGACACTTCATTTTTTCCAATTTGGGGAACTGCTAGTTAGCCTGAGTGTGTGCCCAAGAATGAACACACTGAAGTATAACGATGCTTTGCTAGTATGGCAGTTTACATATTCTACCTTGCCTTAGATAAGTCAAGATTGTTCTTGGAAAGCCTTTGAAGGAGAAATGGATTATGCAGAAAATGACTTAATTTGATATAGCATGAAATATTTATGGCAGCTATGATTTTTTTTAAATCCTGGTAAGGCAGAACAGATCAGTTTGGAGAGTACCCCCATGTAATAATCTCACTATGGACTTAGATTGGAATATTTTTCAGCAGCGATTTATCTTAGATGTGGTCTTTAGTGACAGCTATTTATCAGGACATACTCTCATGGCAATACAGTAACATTTATCCCTTAAGATTATGGTGTCATACACAGTAGCTTTACCTTCAGAATTGAGTGAGAGAAACACAGCTTATCCTGTTGACAGATGGCTTAATACAGTGTGCTCCATTCAGGATGCGTTAGACTTGGTTGACTGTCATGTCTTAAGTAGCAGGAAGAGACATTTTCATGGCTCAACACTGATATGTCTATAGACAACCTGTTGAATACTGGATAGCTTATTACTTTAAGCAGATTGTGTCCTATTAGTATACAATTCCAGCCTCTGTTGAGCTCAGTTGGATCATTTTGTGATACGAAGAGCATTTGGGGGCCTCCAAAACAGGTCCCAGCATATCCACACCCTCAACAAATAAACATCACCTCCTAATTTCCTCTTGGAAATGTGATTCTGGTGGTTGGATAAGGCCTGTCTCCTTTTACTGTCACTGCTCCATGAATCAGAAGTCTTCTATTTTAGCCTGGAAGGCTTAGGAGATGGAACCAGGAAGAAATGTATCTGCTTTTAATAAATGAGTAAATTGACATACTAGAGCTTCTCTGCCCCTTAAGTATTATTGCCTCCTTCAAAGGTAGTGCCTTGGTAAGTAACAGATGAACTCCACTGATGCTGCCAGTCTTCCAAATAATTTTTCTACCTCCTCTTTGGAAAAAGCCTTGTGGGTTTATGGCTGATCCCTGCCATCTACAAGTTGTTGATTCTCAGCCAGTTGATCATCAGTGGTGCGGGCTGAGGTCTTCAGTGAGAAGACCCTGAAATGTTAGGAAGCATACACTTGGTGATTAATATATATTGGGAAGAGTGCAGTCTTTAGAATGATCCAGAAGGATTTTTTTTTTTTTGAGTCAGAGTCTAGCTCTGTCATCCAGGCTGGAGTGCAGTGGCACGATCTTGGCTCACCACAACCTCAGCCTCCCGGATTCAAGCGATTCACCTGCCTCAGCCTCCCGAGTAGCTGGGATCATAGGCACGTGCCACCATGCCTGGCTAATTTTTGTATTTTTAGTAGAGACAGGGTTTCACCATGTTGGCCAGGATAGTCTCGATCTCCTGACCTCAAGTGATCTGCCCTCCTCAGCCTCCCAAAGTGCTGGGATTATAGGCATGAGCCACCGCGCCCAGCCCCAGATGGATATTTTAATCCTGGTTCAGACACCAGCTGTGTGCTTTGGGCAGAACATTTAATATGACATTCTGTTACCTTATTTATAAGATGGGAGTAGTGATACCTACTCTGCAGGGCCATTGTGAAGATAAATTCTGGCACATAGGCACTTAAATAATTGATAGCTGGTGTTGATGTTGTCATTACCATTATACCATGGTTGAGCAGCCTATGTAAATGTCCAGAGTAAGGGTGAAGAGGTGTGGGCCATGTTTCTTCCCATAAAGGTAAACTGGATTTTTTGGGGGGAAATACTGTGAGTCTTTGGGAACCAAACTGCTAAATGAGGTAGCTGATTAAGCAGGCTTATACCATTTGGGGTTCATTTGGAGGAGAGGATAAAATAATACGGCTGTTTACTTCTTCTGACATTTATATTGGCTTTAAATGGGGTTTCCAAAGAGGAGTTCCAGGAATTTTTTTGTAGAGACTGGGTCTTGCTATGTTGCTCAGGCTGGTCTGGAACTCCTGGGTTTAAGCGATCCTCCTGCCTCAGGCTCCTAGGTAGCTGAGATTATGGGCATGTACCACCATGCCCAGCAAGAATTGTTTTGAGTGATGTCAGCATAATTGTTGCAAAAACCTTTGGGCTGCATACATTCTGGTAGATTTATACAAGTTTGAAATCTGTCATGACTTTATATTCACTCCTCAGAGAGCATGTAAGTTGAATAATGATTGAAACAAGGCTGCTGAGTATGATAAGTGTCCTGATGTTTCCCTGGTAAGTTTCTTTTAGTGTTATCAATGTCACTTCATCAGAATACCTCTGACCTCCACAAACAGTAACACTCCCCTGAAACATTTTTGTCCAATTTCTCTGACTCAGAAAGTTTATTTCTGATAGTCAATCACTGAGCATCAGTGAAAGTGGACTCTTGGGACTTGGAGTGTGAAGCACAGGGAAAGGTATGTTAGGGAAGCCTCTTTTCTTGGGAGCTTCCTGCTAGTGGCCCTGCTCTTAGAACACCTCTGGCAGTTGTCATTGTTGTGATTGTGATCGTTGGATTGTGGTGGTGGTTTTTCTGTTCCACAGGCCACAGGAAATGACTGGCAGGTGTCACTTTCTTTGCTGCTACTGGCACAGTTCTTTCCCTAGGGTACAAGCTCTTGGTGGCTTCTTTGAAAGAAATTTAGCTCTCCTATTTTTTGCTCTTTCTTCCTATACTTCAGCAAGTACAAAATCTTGTTTGAGTTTCTCTGATGATTTTTTACTGATAGAAATGTAGCCGAACAGTTGAGGGATTAACAAAAAGCACATAGAGTTATGTGGCAACGTAAGGCAGTGTATTAAAGTGTTTAAACTTACAACTTTAGAGTCAGCAAAGCCTGGGTTTGAATGCCTGCTCTATTACCTATTAACTCCTCTTCTCTGATCCTCAGCTTCCCCACATGTAAAATGGAGTTAATAGTTTCTCCCTTAACAGTTTGTTGAAAAGATTCCAGGAGATTGTGAAGTACGGAGTATAGTACCTGGAACACAGTTAGGTTCTCAAAAATGGTAGCTATTATTGCTGTTCTTCCAAAAAAAAAAAACCTATTAAAAAGCCCTTGAAGATCTTTACTGGGAGATAGGCCTGATATTGGCTCCCTTCAATAACCCATTCTTAACTTTTTAGGAACAGCCTCACCTACCCCCCTCTGATTTTTATGTTATTTCCTCTCTTTTCTGCAAAAGCAAAAATCCCAATCCTTGGTCCTGGTTGGTGCAAATGGTGGGCATCTGAGTCCACTGAGGATCAAGTGAGAGTTATTTGCATCTAAGGGTATGCACTAGGCTGACCTTCTTACCTTCAGCATCTTGTTTCACAGCAAAAACATCTTAAACCATTTCTCCTACTACTGCTTTATAGAGATTAACTCAGGCAATCTTCCTAAATTACATTAAAAACCATGATGAGTCTAGTTGCAGGTCAAAACTAGTTGTTCAGTGCTCTAAAGTCCTTTCTGTCACCCTTGAGTTAGCCTTTGTAGAAAAGGAGAAAGATCATTAAAATGAGTCATGATTTCCCAATTTCTCAAGCCAATGAATTTTATTCTTTTACGTGAGTATGGCTTTGATCCATGGGTTTGTCTCCTTTATAATGTAGTTTCATTTCCCTGTGAAAGGAAATTTGTTTTAATTTGTAACTCTGGTGTCACAGGAGCTTCCTATTTTTTGCCCCCTCAGATCTTAGTGATCCACACGGTCAGATGAATCTTAAAAACTACCCAAATGAACTTTTTCTTGGTTTGAGCCACTTGTTGGCCCATTTTGTCATTGTTCTCTTTGCTTCTAGTCACAGCTTCGGGCCTAGAGCTGGGATGAGTACCTGTTCAGCAGGAGCCAAAGTAAGGTGTTCCCACCTGAGGTAGGGATACAGCAGTTTGGGGTTGGAGGGATGCATAGAGGATTGCACTATGTAAGAACTCATGCTGAAAAGCTAATTTCCAAATACTATTAGGGAGCACTAAGACAAGGACCATCTTAGAATGGGCTAGAAAAAAAACCATGGGCTAGCTTACCCCTACTTATCCTTAACATCATCTCTTCTGAGGACCCTGAATCCTCCTGTCCACAACTTTGTCTGGGTTAAGGCTTGCTGGCACCTCATCTTCTCTCTAGCATGTCCCCAGTGACACTATATTGAGAGCTTTTACATGTCTGTCTGTAATCTTCTAGTAGCTCCTTAGTGACTAGTATTGTGGGCCAGGCGCAGTGGCTCATGCCTGTAATCCCAGCACTTTGGGAGGCCGAGGTGGGTGGATTGCCTGAGCTCAGGAGTTTGAGACCAGCCTGGGCAATATGGCAAAACCCCGTCTCTACCAAAAATACAAATAATTAGCCAGGCGTGGTAGCATGTGCCTGTAGTTCCAATTACCCGGGAGGCTGATGCAGGAAGATCGCTTGAACCCGAGAGGTCGAGGCTGCAGTGAGCTATGATCGCACCACTGCACTCTAACCTGGGTGACATAGTGAGACCCTGTCTCAAAAAAAAAAAAAAAAAGAGTAGTACTGTGTCTTCCGTCTGTAAAACCTCATTGCTTAGCTGTGCCTGCCGTAGAGTAAACTCTCTATACATGTATATTGAATTCGTTGGATGAACCAACAGACATAGTTGCAGGTAACAGACCTTAGTACCAGGCCTAGCTTCCCATGGTATCACTGTACCATTAGGCAGATTACTTAAACTCTATTTTGTTTTCTCCTTCTGTAAAATTAATACCTCCCCTGCCTACCTCAAAGAGTTGCTGTGAGGCTCCAATAAGAAAATGCATATGAGATGTTTTTGAAAATTATAAATTACCCTCCGTTTACTAGATGTTAGTGTAGAAGAGTAGATCAGATGTAGGGGGAGGTTTTATCCCGAATAAATGGAACACTGGGTAATCAACACAGCATTAGTGGGCTCTCTTTACAAACATGGACCCTTTAGCAGCTTCCTGAGTATCTCTCTCTGTACGTCTCTCAAGGACTTGAGGAATATTATTTTAAATTTTTTTTTTTTTTTTTTTTTGAGACAGAGTCTTGCTCTATCGCCCAGGCTGGAGTGCAGTGGCCGGATCTCAGCTCACTGCAAGCTCCGCCTCCCAGGTTTACGCCATTCTCCTGCCTCAGCCTCCCAAGTACCTGGGACTACAGGCGCCTGCCACCTCGCCCGGCTAGTTTTTGGTATTTTTTTAGTAGAGACGGGGTTTCACCACATTAGTCAGGATGGTCTCAATCTCCTGACCTCATGATCCGCCCATCTCAGCCTCCCAAAGTGCTGGGATTACAGGCTTGAGCCACAGCGCCCGGCCTAAAATATTTTTAAGCAAATCCACCTATCCCCACGAATTTTATTTTTAAACAAATCAGCCCATGATGCTGAATTAAACCAGTTGGCCCTGGATAAGGAAATACTTTGAGAGATTGGTAGCATCAGTTTAAATTAATGAAAAGTCTGAGTGACAGATCATTTTAAAGTAAATGCAGTTTTATTACTTTCAAGCACATATAATAACAATGCTGGGAATTGAACTTGGAGAAAGATAGCATGTGTCAGAGAATCAAAGCATACAAATAGGAATCATTGATAATGAGGCTATTGCTGTGTGACTGTCCTGCTAAAGACCATCCTCCTCAAATTGGCTAATGTTCCCCTGGAGAAACTTATCTATTTAAGAAACTCCTATTTTTTTTTTTTTTTTCATTTATAGGCATGAAGAAAATACCATTAAAAAATCCTATACATGGCTTCTGGATAACCCAGCTTTTTCAAACCCCAGTGGATAGCATCTAGCAGCAGTGCCCTGCTCTCTGGTTAAAACAAATAACAGCAACAAGCAAACACCCTCTGGCCCCTACAGTGATCAACTTTTTCCAGGTTGCCTAGGACTTTCCAGGTTTAGACTTTTGCCAAGTCCTAGGAAACCCCTCAGTCCCAGCAAACTGGGGTGGTTGGTTACCTATCGGTACCTATGACTCTTACAGCTACAAAATATAGGGAAAAGATGCAGTCATGGGGGTTTACATACATTGAAGGGGTGGAGGAGAGCTGGGAGAGCTGCAGCTCACACATTCTGTTGGTTTCTCTGTCTTCGCTTTTTAACTCCTCTTACCTTTTCCTCCCTGATGCATTTTGATCACTGTCCTCTTCCCTTTGCTCTCTTAAATTCTGTCTAAGGGTACAGTGGGACTTCAGAAAGCAGGACTCAAACAGTAGAGTGGCTAATAATAGTAATAACTAACCATTCTGTGGAACTTCCCAAGTGCCACACAATATGCTAGGCAGTTTGTATGCATTGACTAATTCTCAACAACAGCCTTTTGAAGCGGACAATATTATTACCTACACTTTACTGATTCTACTGATGACATTGAGCAAATTACCAAAGGCCACAGCAAGATGGGCTTCAAACCCATCCAATCCATCCCTTACCCACAGCACTGTCCTGCCTGTCAAATGCCTGGCTTCTCTCCTGCAAGGTTTAAAGCCTTCTCACCTTCTTCCTATTCTTGGTGGAAATCCTGACCTCAGCTTGGTTTAATCTCTTCATCCAGCAGACCTGGAATGAGTGTTCTGTCCAGCTTTTCTCTGGCCTATAATGCTATACCCTATCCTTCCCTTGTTCCCTGCCCAGTCTTGGTCCATGAGAGTAGACGTACATTTCCTGCCTCTTATACCATGCTTCTCTGCTCTCATGTCCTCTCAAGTCTATAAGGCGGCATCCCCTGGAAGAAGGAGTTCTTCTTAGAGATATTTCAACCCCTTGCTAGAAAATGGCGTTCACCTGCCTCTGAGATTAATTCTCCATTTAATCTCCCGTACTCACATGCCCCTGATAATAAAGTCATTGCCTGTGCATCCCCTGTGGCGCTTTGGAGTCCTTGCAAACAAACAAACAAACAAACAAAAAACCTTTGTCCTAGGCTGAGAGTCCAACCTGAGTCCTAGCTCTACTGTGAACTTGTTGTGTGACCTTGCACAAGTCACTGTACTTCTGTTTTTTCTTTTACTTGTGAAATAAAGGAATTTGACAAAATCACCTCTAAAGCACTTTCCACCTCTAACGGGCTATGAGATCCTATAACAAAGATATTTGATGGGGGAGGGAATGTGAAAGGAAAGGGAACACCATAAAGCCACATTAATGACTTTGAATTTGATGCCTTCCTAAGTAGACCAAAGTGAAAGTGATTCAAAAGGAGCCCCAGGGTATAATCATTCTCATGAGGACCGCAGTGAGCTCTTCATTTTACTCCTCCAGGTATTATTGGAGCTACAGGGGAGCAGGTAGGTTGGCTGTTTGAGATGTCAGAGTTGTTGTTCTCAATTTCTAATGTTGGAGAGTTTTGGGTGAAACTCACATAATTAAACCTTAAAGAAAATGTTTCCCCCATAGCACTGCATAACTCCAATGGGGCTTCTGAACAGAAAAAAAAATATGGAATTCAGTGTCTGTTGCTCCCAATAATATTTGACACAACTGTCCAGAATGAAAATTAGAAGCCCTCTAACCACAGAGATGTATCAGTGACAGGAGAGAGACATCGGGGGAGTGCCAAGGGCTGAAGGGCAGGTAAGAGCAAAGTAATACAAAGTGATTAAGAAAACCAAAGGGAGAGAGACAATTTTCACCCTTTCCAACACCCTCCAGGCTAGAGAGCTTGGGTAAATTTTGACCTAGTTGTCCTTGTGTACATGGCTGTGAGCTTTTATTAAGTATTTATGCAGCAGTTTATATTTTACCAAGTGCTTTACAATCACTTTTATTTGGCTTAGTAAAGTTTTCCTGGAATCCCATCTACTTTATGATCAGAAGAGTCATTTCTTGTTTGCTTAGCACCTCCATGTGTACGGCTTCACACAATAGACCACTTGTTCTAGCAGGAAAGCAGGTGCAAAGAGTTGAGCAGTGAAGGGCGCCTGCAGCTAGCAGGGCAGTTGGAGTGGGGGTAGTTTACACTTCAGTTCACCTTTTCTCCCCCTTTGTTATTCTTTCGTGTTATGTTATTGCTGGCAACTTGAGAGTGGTGGGGCAAGGCTTGGGCCTGCCAAGTGCAGAGCTGTCCTGACATATGGACACTGGCAGAGATAGGCTCTTTCCCCTGTGCCAGTGTCTCTGCCCATGCCCACCATGGCCACGCGCTTCCACCAGGCAAAGACTTGGTGAATATGTTTCTTTCTGCTGCTTCAGGGCTCTTGCTGCAGCCTTGGTTCTCAAACTCTGGACATGAGTTTAGGAAGACTATAGAAAGAGGAGTTCTACTCTCTGCAGACAAGACCAGCCAGTGTTCTTGGACAAATCTAACACTTAGCTACCTTATTCTTGGTAGTCTCTTTTCCCTCCCACCAACCACGGCAGCCCCCTTGTGCCAGCACTCTGGATTTTGTGATGTAGGATGGTGTGGCTGCATAGATGTCTCATGAAGCAATACGGCCACACACTCTCAATCACCAGTTTGCAGTGGGAATCCAACATAGTCATCAGTTGGATGTTTCCTTTTCTGAAGACCAGATTTGCCAAGGCAGAAACTAAATTCTGGTTCATGAAGTCCAGGCTGGAATTAGTGGGCCAGAACATTGGAAAATTCAGGACCTCCAACTACTAATGTTCTGTGGCTGAGAACAGGGCTATGTGGATGCTTAATAGGTAAGTGTAGAATAGATGATGACACTCAGTGGAGTATAGAAAAGGAACTCTGCTGTTCTCTAGGTTACCCCTGGTTTCTAAAATGGTGTGATCTGGCAGGTGGGACACATTGACAGGTTTACATCGAAGGGCCCAGTGTAACGTAGGTCCTCAGTCAGTGGCTGCAGATTTGGGGGAAAGGCCTCAGGGACAACAGGTTGACAAGGATTAGGCAGAATAGTTTAGAGTCTCCCTC